TGAGAAAGGTCAAAGGTAAGCTCCCTCCAGATCCAAAAGCTCAGACAAAACGGAACAAGCGCTTTAAACCTCAGATTAACGAAGGACATGCTTTCAAGAATATTCAACATTTCAGCAAGGAAACCTTTCCCTTTGCCTCCACCCCCAATAAATGCAATGCTGTTTTCCTAGGATTTTCTAGACTCTTTGCAAACAGAAACATGGTGCAGTAAAGGAAGCAGAGAAGATTAGAAAGGACCAGTGGGTTTTACTGGAAGTTTCAAACACATCAGACCTATAACAGGCCAATGTTAAAACCAACTAGACCAGCAAAGAAGCATTTGGAAAGATATGTGTTCACGAAGTCCACCCATTCCCATGAATCCATTTGAGTGTGTAGATACCATGAGCCAACAGTAGCGCTGTGATAGCACACTGGAGAGGTCAGTGATATGAAATCAGGAACTGCTGCCATAATCTTAGACAAGGCTTTGAATTTCTACATGGCACATATATGGGGGTCATACAATATCAATGGGGTGGTTAGGATGGTCATTTAATGATGTTTCCACCCCCCCCCAAAGGCTTGCTAACAGCTGCAGCAATGAAGCATATTTATTACATCATAATAAGAAGTCAGAATTGGGTAAGTGATGAAGTCTCTGACATCATAGCCATGGTCATTGTAGATCTAGTGAGTAATGGTAGAATTTCAAAAAAAAGGAAGAGAGGGGAAACACATCAGAGTTTGATTGTCCATAGCTTTGGTTTAGACTGCTCAGGATCTGACCCAAATTGAGTTTGAATCAGACCACTGAAAGGTCTCCAGGCCTGCTGGCTCAGACTGCTTCAACCTTCAGATTATGAATGCAGCTCTCCTCGTTATTTCTCCGCACTGTATCTCAACTCAGATGGTAGAAAATGACCGGCTAAAAGTGGGGCTAGGATCTTGGGCCCTTTAATACATGTGTGGTGCATCCAGAGCACCAGGAAAACATGAAAACTATGGTTTTCCAAGGGGCACAGAGGTCTAGGCAGAACCACATGCATGCTAAACGATCTAGGGCTCTGATGAATTTTAGCCCAAATCTCTTGGCAATGTAGCAAACGAACATCTAAAGCCTCCTTAACAGACAGCCATGCAACCTCTTTGAGGGACAGTCCGCACCTTCTGAGGAAGTCCTCTGAACCGTCCTCACCATCCGAAGTTCTCATATTTGATTCCTCACCAGAAGCAGCCAAAATGGTGGACACAATGATGGTTTCTCACTTATCAATGACACATTTCATAGAAGTCCTGGATGTTCTTCCCACATCTAGCATGCTTGGTCATAACGAGACCTTCCGCAACTCCTGCCTCTAGCTGCTATGGACACCTCCACCATTCATTTACAGCAGCATCTGGTCCCTTCAAGCTGAAGAGACTACGGATTCTGATTTTGTGAGGGGTCCTCAGGGTTTTAGTCCAAAGTGTGCAAAGGCCATTTGTTACGGTCAGCCATAGCATTACCTGTCCGTCACAGCTGGGAGGGAAAATCTCAGCCAATGAGAGGGCAGAGGGTGGTGCAGAGGTGGGAGGAGCTGTGATATATAAGGTGTGTGTGAGGTGTGAGTGGGGCAGATAGGAGATAGCAGATAGGAGATAGCAGATAGACTAGAGATGAGTGTCTGAGCTGCGAGTTAATCTTAGTGTCAGCGTGAAAGAGTCTGTGAGAGCTAGTGCCTGAGAAACAGTAATTGATTATTTCTTTAACAGTGATTTACCATTCCTTTCTTTTTGTATTCAATAAACTAAGTTTTTTATTTTTAAAAGTTATACTGGCCTGCTGTATGATTTATTTATTAAGGAATGGTTGGTGGCAGTAAAGAAGAGTGAAGGGTTTTAAAGTGACGTGATGACCTCCCTTTGTGAGTAGAGAGGAAGGCCGTCACACCATCCAACTTGCCTACCTCATACCCTAGAGAGGATAAACAAATTGAATAGCTCCTTTGAAGTTCAGACCAAAACCTAGAGGGGATTTATCTTGGCTCTTTTTAAAGGCCTTCTGGACATACGTAGTGTCCTTCTATCATTCTTAATAAGCAAGGCCAACGAAGGAAGCATTGGTACCTCGAATATTACAGCAGAGTCTCACATTTCAGACTCCAGTGTCCAGGAATAGACTCTTTGCCAAGTACTCAGAAACACCAATGCGATCCCCAGAATTAGGTAATGGTAAACCCCTTATGAGTGCTCTACATCTAAAAAAAGCCTAGAATATGTTGCCATAAGTAAGAATCAACTTGACAGCACTTAATTATTATTAATGCCATGCATAGCCAAAATTACAGGAATTCTTTACACCAGAGTTTTGCTTCAATCCCAATTGTCATCTTGCTTACATCACTCTCATCTACTATTCTCAATGCTTCAGCCACAAACTGAGAAATGCAGAATTTTAATTCTTAAGTTTTATTTGTCACGAATGCCACCCTTTAAACATTTTTGTCTTTATGTGAAGTGCTGTCAAGACTTTCTGCATTCACAAACTCAATCTGCAACACTCAAATGCATTGTTACCTTTGGAACGGAGTGAAAAGTTGGAGTCATAAGTATTTTTTGTAAATGCTGGCCCCTATCCTGCTGCTTAGCTCTACCCGCCCATGGGAGTGCTATGGAAGACGGCCTGTGATAAAAGGGTTCTTTTTTTATTTCAAACTGCATACAACTTTGTCCCCAAACAAACAAACAAACAAACAAACACAGCTTTGTCCCCAAACAAACAAACAAAACAAAGAACTCTTTAATCAGCAGCAATCTGCCATGGCCAGTGACATCACTCCTAGGGCACAGGCAAAAGCTATGGAAGAGCGCACTTGGTGTTAGATGTCATGAAAATCTTTTGTGTAGTCTTTTGTAATTTTTATGTGGTGGTGCTGCGAGTTAAACAGCAGAAGTCTCTGGGCTGCAAGGTCGGAAGACCAGCCATTATAGGATCGAATCCACACAACAATCCCGTCATTTCTCTCAGCTCCTGCCAACCTAGCAGTTTGAAAGCATGTAAAAGCGAGTAGATAAAGAGGTACCACCACAGAGGGAAGGTAACAGCGTTCCGTGTCTAGTCGCGCTGGCCACATGACCACAGAAACTTTCTACGGACAAATCCTGGCTCTACGGCTTGGAGATGGGGATGAGCACCACCCCCTAGAGTCAGACACGACTGGACTAAATGTCAAGGGGAACCTTTATCTTTTACCTTGTAATTTTTAATACTATGGTATCACAGTAGCACTATTTCTGCTATGCCGTCATAGAGGGTCTCTTCATTTTGGACTTTAGTTATTATATTTTAGATTTATTATGGTATCATGTTTCCTATTTAATATCGAACCAATACAAAAGCCAACCCACTGAATTGGTGTCCACCCAAAAATCCATGTGGAGACTTGTTAACCAATGGAGAAATGCCTCTGCCTGTGACACTATTTTGCCTAAAACAATTCTGGCCTATCTCTTTGAGTCTGGCTAGATGCTCTCACCCCCAACATGTGTTCTGTTACAGAATGAGCTCTCTCGGCATCTATTTTAAGATTAGCTGCCAAGTAAATTCTCCAGTTCATCGATCTTGACTGCTTTTGTCCATGGCCAGGAAGAAATGTTTGTTTAGTATTAAAATTCGTATCTCTTGGTTTTCACTACATACATTATTCATTACAAGGTCTGGTTGTTATTCTTTGTGGAACTATTTCTTCTGATGTGGTTGTGCAGCAACTTTTGTCAGATTATGAGGGAGAAGGATCTTGTCACCTCGGGCCACTAACTGGAAACAATCTCTCCCCCTCACTTAGTTCCACTTTAGTCCGATTCAGTCATGAAGGTATTGTTTGGAACCCACATGCACTGAGAGGAATGCGCTAACTCTGCCCCTCCATTGCCACACTGCCACAAGAAAATGCAAGGAAAGAAGGGCCTCTATAGCAGGTAGTCTCTCCATGTGAGAAAACACTCCACCCCCACCCTTGCCAGGAAGAAACTCTTCAAATAAATCACACCCACCTTTTGGAATGTCACGTTCCCCTGTTCAATAAGGCAATGAAAGGGTGGAGCTAGAGAATGTCCTTCAATGTGGGACCCACATACTTCTGTATTGACTAACTGGGACTCCTATGTCTGTCCAGAAGACGTTTTCTAAAATGGTGGCACAGCCAGGGCTAAGACGGTCCTTTGCACTGTTCCATAGATATTTTGACTGGGTGTAACCAATAGCATTCAGCTAATGTTATCTGGGGCTATCCATAACCGGTTAATCTATGCCATACATGCTGATAAAACAGCTCAGTGTGTTATGTGGACTGCCTGTAGAAGGCAAATAAAAACAACACAGTTCTTCTTCGGGGTGAGGGAGGGGAGCAAGGACATACTTTCATTTGAGTACTGTACTTGTCTTTGCTACACTACCGGCTGGTTACGAAACTAGGTTTTTAGCACCTTAGGATGCAATTAGCCTACAAACTGGAAAGCACCATTAACATTTTATACACTCAAATGCACAGCCACTGAGAAAACCCACTCTCTCCAAACTGCAAAGACCAAAGGCACAGTTCACTGGCCCCTCTCCAATCCGGTGAAAAGCTCTTGGGAGAAATGTCCCTGGAAGTCCACCACAGTGCATGCTTTCTCTCTCTCTCTCTCCCTCTCCCTCTCTCTGGCTCTCTTTCACTTCAAAAAGCACTTCCACGGTGCAATTTCCTCTTGGATTAGATTTCAGAACAGCCTTGAGGATTAAGCGCTCAATCTTTGCTGGGTATAGATGCTGAAAACGCTCGTGGCAGAAGCAGAGTTGGATAAGTAGGTATATATTGAGTGCCAGGGATCTGGATGCTTGGCTCCAAAGTCTTTGAAAGGGGGAGAAAAGACTACCTTCTTTCCAAGGTGAGCCAAAGGATACAAGGAAATACTTCACTGCTAGCAAAGTGTCTGCTGGGAACAGATTAAATCCACCAGTCATTGAAACTCTTCTTTGTTCTGGTATCCATTCACATGGGCCCTTTGTACTGATTTCCTGACAAGTGTTGTCTAATTCCAGGACACGAGCTTGCAGCATCTCCAAGTTTCCTCCACACAACCTGAAAACAAAGGGGAAAGTATATCAGTGATCTCCAGAAACCAGCAACAAGGAACATAATGGTATATATTCTGAACTGTATACAGTGGTGCCTTGCAAGACGGGCACTCTGTTTAACGACGAATCCACATTACGACAAGGTTTTTGCAATCGCAAAACGACGTTTTGAATGGGGGAATTTCGCTGTGCAATGATCAATCCTGTTTCTGGAACCAATTTTTGCTTCCCAATGATCAAAACAGCTGATCTCGGGTTTTCAAAAGGGCTGCCGGGTGCTCAAAATGGCTCCCCCGCTGTGTTTACGAGCCATTTTTCACTGCACAGGCACCCAAAAATGGCCGCTCCTATGGGGGATCTTCGCTGGACGGTGAGTTCTTAGCTGATTGGAACGCATTAACCAGGTTTTAATGCGTTTCAATGGCTTTTTTATTTTCGCTTTACAACGTTTTCGTTCTACAGCGATTTCACTGGAACGAATTAACGTCGTAATAAGAGGCACCACTGTATACACCTTGGATATTCAATGCATATTCTGTACAAAAACAGACAGTTAACTCAGACAAAGGAACCAGGAGTTGGTCATCATGAAGCCGCCACAACTGCATATTCACAGTAATTTCTCTATCCTGTTGTTGGCCATAACGTTTGTAGATTCTTTGTCACAAATCCTGTTGGAGTGACTATTCTGATTGATTGATTGATTGATTGATTGATTGATTGATTGATTGATTGATTGATTGATTGAATCAATCATTCATTCAAAATATTTTTACCCTGCCTTTCTCCTCAAATGGACCCAAGGTGGCTCACTCCTGCTGAAGGTCGATGACATCATTAGCAGGGGAAATTTTCAGAAATTAAGCATTTCTTTCAGTAGTGCTCAGGCTCCTGTTGCTCCTGTGTAATCCCTTTCATCATGGGAGCCATGGGATTGAGGGAAGGGAGTCTCAAATCAGCCAAAATCGCTGCCACCAGGAACCGCCACCAGGATAACATTACCAGCAGCAGAGAGTTTTTTTGTAGTTAAAGACTTCCTCCTCCTGTCCTGAAGCTGCTGCCACCAGGATAACATTACCAGCATTTTTTGTAATTAAAGACTTCCTCCTCCTGTCCTGAAGCTCCCTTAGATTCAACATGAGATGGGGATTATGTGGCAACAATGAGAACCCTAGGACAGAAATAAGAAGTGTTTCATTTCCAAAAGTTGTCTTCTGATTATGATGTCATCAGTATGCAGGCACAATTGTTGACTACAGGATTTCAGCCTTTATTCTGTGACATAATGTGATATCAGGACTAGCACCCGTTAGCTGTACAATGACAACATGATTATATGCAGGATAGAGGAGAATTTTGTGAATTTTCCCCAAATTCGCAAGTTTCTTCACATTCAGAATGGAAAGAATTTAGTGGGGGGAGGGGGAATAATTGGAACAGGGGGAAAACCAAAACTGACAGATTAATCCAGCTCAACACTTTGAATTCTTAACTCATAAAGATCTTCATTTGAAGTCCTATATGTTAAACTGTGGTAGCACTGAAATACCATTTCCTCATCTCTTAACAGCTGCATCTGCTGTATTTTTTCATCACAAATGAATAAAAAAATCATTTCAGTATATTATTTGAAAAATTAGCTAAAAATTCTCCAGTCACGTATTCTGGATGAAAAGAATTTGAATATAGGGAGAAGTGAATTGGACCGATTTCCCCTTTCCTGGGAAACATTCACATCATGATGACTTCATGTCACCTGCTATACTGTAATCTTAAACGAATTATATATGTGGAGTGGTGGTTGCTTTGTAAAAAAAAAGTGTTTCAAAAGCAATAAAATCTAAAATTGATCTTATCCATCATTCATAGAGCAAAGAGTTTCTAAACAGCCTTTTAGGACTTAAAAGCCTTCATAAAGTGGCTTACAGATAATAAATAATGCATACTAAGAATATAGTATAGTCCCCCACTTGGATGCACATCTTGACATGATGATGGCTAGAAAGCCAAGAGCAAAATAATTATTTACTTATTTACTTACTTACTTACAAAGTGGCTTACAGATAATAAATAATGCATACTAAGAATATAGTATAGTCCCCCACTTGGATGCACATCTTGACATGATGGTGGCTAGAAAGCCAAGAGCAAAATATTTATTTACTTATTTACTTACTTACTTACAATATTTCCATCCTGCCTTTTTCCTTAAAAATGACCCAATGACATAAGGAGGCTAGATTCTGTCACTATTCTAAACTTCTAAAATGTCACCTAAACTGTGTGGTCAAGATTGAGACAACAGACTAAGATACACCCACAGTCTGCAGGAATTAATGTTGTATCATCAGAAGAGAATTAATGGCTACAATGGTGGTGGAAGTGGAGAATCAATTCCATCTATTGATCAACTCAAAATACCAAAATGTGACACTGGTGGAGAAACTTTCAGAAAAAAAGCATTCAAGCTAACTCTTGTTAGTACTGTGCAGAAAGTGGCAATGACGAATCATTTCTGAATATTTTATACATCAAAGGTGGTATCCGGGACAAAATGAATCAAGAGATAATGATGAAAGGTGAACCTCTCAGGTCAGAGACATACAATTTTGACTTTTTTGCGATTTTCATGGAGTGGGTGCTTCTTTCTTTTCTATAGACAAATTTTCAGTTTATTCTCTTTATATTTTAAAAGTAATTTTGTATTTCATCTTGTATTTAATTGTGATTGGACACCTTGGGCTCTAATATGTATTAAAAGGGTGGGAATGTGCAACCAATAAATAAATACTAAACACCTGTAAATATTTTTGTTCCCCTTTTCTACTGTTCTTTTCCAGAAGCTTGCTTTTATTCTGTGATCTGTAGAAACCGCACGCAGCAACCGTCTGCTTTGTTGCTAGAATAGCAATGATTAGCTAAGAGGCTTCTGCAAAAGTTCTCATTATTTATAAAGTATGTTTCCCAACAACTTGTTTTCTGCTCAATGAGCAAAAGAAAATATTTGTCTGGATAATGCTGATGTGGCAAAAAAGTAAGGGCTGACATTTTCAATTGCCTTTATTTTCACAAGAAATAATGACCTCTAGCTGATGGGAAGCAACGTACTGCATTAATATCCAAGCGTGCAGACTGAAGGGCATCCACCACAGCCACAAGAAAATTGCATTGTTTTCTTGCAAGGTTTCCAGTAGTTGTGTGTAGAAGAACTATTGTCCTGAAATCTTAAAATTGCTTCAATGGTCAGGTGTTTTGAAAATGACATTGAATCTTCAAGCCAAGCATTGTACTTAACTGACCTCTATATAATTTCCAAAAACAACACACAGTTAAGTGGTAGCTTGTTATTTTCTTGCTCTCAAGATATTCCCAACTTATGGCAACCTTATGAATGAATGAATGACCTCCAAAAGATCTTATTTTTCATAGCCCAGCAGAGCCCTTGCCGGCTAAAGGCTATGGATTCCTTAAAGACAAACACATTTAACTTTTTGCAGGCTGGAGCTCATTCCATCAGGCTCATCCCATCAAAGATCATGGTAATTACAATACCTTTGAGATGTCACAGGATTCTTCACTGTTTTGCTGCAAGAATTTTATGCGGCTAGAAAAATAAATGGTTTCCATTTATATAGTCTAGATTTGTTCTAAGTTAATAGCACTTAGGCTCAAACCAAATTTACCAAGATGGTTGCAGGCTGCCTGAGCTGACATGAAGGGCATGTCCACATAAGCAGAATAGATCGCTATTTGGATCACTTTTGATAGTGACTAGTTTATGGCGTTCACATGTGTTTTGATTTTTGAGTAATGCAGCTCATCCATTTGATTGATTGATTTGATTTATATGCCACCCATGTGGCAGCCAAGGCCCCTCTGGGCACTTTACAACAACACAAAACAACAAAGTAGCAAAATAACAAATAACACCAATATCCCCAGTTTTGTCCCATTGCTTTTGGGGCATGGTGGAAGTGTTACAGGTGTTTCCAGCATGATTCAGAGTGCTCCTAATTAGCTCGTTCTGTTGCCCATGCAGGTGGCTGGTCCACATCAAAATGTAGGTGTGGTTGGCGTTATCTGAGGTGACAACCCTTTGACAATCTGAAGAGGCGACTCAATTCGCGTTCTTCAAGAGAATGTGCCTCTGCGTGTGTTTGTGGTCAAGGAAAGCAAGCCTCCTATCCAGTTGGTTTTCCCGGCGATTGCTTTTATTTATTTTCCACACATCTTCAAACCAAGCGCTAAGCCAAAAATAATGGAGTGGTGGGGAGGAGAGATGTTGTCTGTTGATGAATTTGGGGAAGTAGGGCCCCTACATCGATGACCATGGCGATTTTTGTCATTAAATAAACTAAGTGAAATAGCAAGAGAGCAAGGCATCTACCTAACATGATACACATAACACCACCGATGTATCTCATTTATCTAGAACAGCTTTGCAGCAATAGGAATATATATAAAAGGCACATTCTCTTGAAGAACGCAAATTGAGTCGCCTCCTCAGACTTTTAGAGCCCTTCAGTGTAGCCACTGCAGCTTCCTCACTACCACCTCAAAGAGCAAGAAAGACCAACCAATTCCGTGGGCTCTGCTGAGTTGCCCCCTCAGACTTTTAGATCCCTTCAGTGTAGCCACTGCGGCTTCCTCACTACCACCTCAAAGAGCGAGAAAGACCAACCAATTCCGTGGGCTCTGCCACCAGAAGACACTGGAGCCTCAGCAGAGCTCCCACTGAGTAGAACGGTAGGGGAGCTTTGGAAATCTTACTTGTGAATAAACTGGTGATCCAAAGGCCCCCTCAGACTTTTAGATCCCTTCAGTGTAGCCACTGCGGCTTCCTCACTACCACCTCAAAGAGCGAGAAAGACCAACCAATTCCGTGGGCTCTGCCACCAGAAGACACTGGAGCCTCAGCAGAGCTCCCACTGAGTAGAACGGTAGGGGAGCTTTGGAAATCTTACTTGTGAATAAACTGGTGATCCAAAGGCCTTTTTTTGACCC